GGGAACACGCTCATATGCCACACACCCGGGGCTGGCACAGCCCATGTACCGCGCACCCTGGGGCAGGGCCGCTCATGTGCCATGTGCCAATGGGCCGGCGCTGCCCATACGCCGCACACCCAGGGCCGGCACAGCCCTTGCGCCATGCACCCGGGGGCGGGGCTACCCATATGCTGAGCACCCAGGGGCGAGCACCGCTCATGCACCACGTGCCCGAGGGCAGGGCTGGCCCTGATCACTCGGTGGATGCACAGAAATGGCCCGGCGGGCGTCATGGCACCTGCAGGCACCGTGTTGGGTACCACTGCTATAACCCAATGCCTGGGTCCCAGAGCTGCCACTACGCACTTCTCCCTTCAGGCACTGGGAGGCGTGCGCAGAGCGACTGGCCGTGAGCAGTCTGGGCGCGCAGCTCGGAACTAGCAAGAGCAGCATTTCTTTAAGCAAAGAGCTGCATGCGGCTCGAGAGCTGCAGGTTGGCCACCCTGATCTAGATGGTTCTGGGTCATGCTGTGAGGGCAGGGGACGGGACTTGATGACCTCTCAAGGTCCCTCCCAGTGTTCTCTCTAAGCTGCACAGCAGAACAGCTTCACAGATGATTAATCAGCCCTGCCCAGCCAGTCAGTTCCCTGCAAGGAGCCCTGAGCCTCTGAGTGGGCGGAGCTGATTAATCACCTGTAAAGCTGTGAGGAAACACTGGTCTTTAGTTATTTCCTTCTAAGACTCAAATAATAAATTATGGCAGAGAAGTTGTCTCAGTTGATTTTGCCAATGAAAAATTAGGGAAAAACCACAATTTATCTATACAGGCATTTGTAAAGATAAAGATCACTGGCGTGTGCGCGCACACACACACACACACACACACGCACACACACGCACACACAGACAGCATGGACATTTCAGCCAGTTAGATTGCTTTTCTATGGTGCTCAATGATCACTATGGCCTCTGAGCACTTCACAACCATCAATTTAGTAAGCTTCATAAACCCCCTGTGGGCAGCAAAATCCAGTCCGGGCCACTGGGCAGATTTGGATTCTGTTTCCAACTGGGCTCGCAGACTTGCTGTGTAACCTTAGGCAAGTCCCTTCATTCTGCGCCTCCATTTCCCCTCTGATTGTGATGTTGCTTCTTTAGGGCAGGTATTGTGTCAGCCTGTTGTTTGTACAGTGCCTGGCAAATTGAGACTCTGATTTCATATTGGGCCTGTATGCACCACCAAATGTAATAAGATAGCAAAATATTATGAAGTAATTATATATTATAGGCATATAGGGATTAACCAACTCCTCCAAGCTCACACAGAATGTCTACGGCAGAGTCAATATTAGAACGCAAAGCTCTTGAATCCCATCATTTTAGCCACAAGACCAGATTGCCTCTCGTAGCCAAATGTGGCAAATTTGGTATAAAATTCAGCTAATTTTTTTTGCAGAGAAGCGCAGAGTTGCGTAGCCCCAGATATCTCTGTGGGGGTCACTGGTACAGTAGTGAGACACAAGCACCACCTATTGAATCAGGAGTGTTATTTCCTCCAGTGGAAGGACTTTGAAGGCATCCCATCTGAACGACAAACCCCGATATTTCACCATGTCCCTCAACAGCTCGGGATTTGTTCTACTTCACAGACTGTCCATTTGCAAAGGAAAAATCTTTTATAAAAATCCAATTCTGAACGGTTTCAAGTCAACCTCTCTCTCTGGAAACTCAGCTGTGGGGAACCTCCAAAACGTGCGAAGTACTCACCCTGCATGCATGAATATGTAGGTTAGGTACCTCCAAGCCTGCGCACGGAGCTGAGGATGATACACTAGTGAGTTCTTCAGGTATAAAGGGTGGGTGACTTGCAGCACAAATCTGTCTAATACCACGCCGTTGTAAAGAAAAAAGGCAACCTAGAAAAGCAGAGAGATTCCTTCGTTAATGAACACCATCCCTCCACGGAAATAAACCACAATCCAATAGCCAACTTGCATAATAGTCCGCCCTTCCTCCCCCCCGCAGCTATTACAACACGCTCAGACTGCACTGTGACCACACTGGCAATTTACAAACATGCATGACTGCAAGACTCCGGCTCTGAGGAACAAAACTCCAATTGAGATGCAATTAAAAAAAAAAAACACAAACGCAAACAAAATTATTTAAAATCTACATACAACCTTTTACTGCAAAGGCCCTCTAAGCCCTTTGACGAACTACATCCAGACAGTTCCACCATGAGCAGGGAACTGAGAAAAACTGAGGGGTAGGAACATGTTTTACTGAAGAATGACAAGGCAAGCGTCTACTCTTTATGCAAGGTACCAGAGTCTTTAGTATCCATGCAGAACCTTGCTATGGTCTCCTCTTCCTAAAGATCCGCAGGTGACTAAGCTCCATAGAAACCAAATTTATCTAGCTCAAAGGCTAAATGGGATTTGGGCCAAAGAGCAAGAGGTTTTAGGTTTTCCAGCTGGATGACTGGATCACATCACTGCTCCACCCTTGGTCTAATGGCCTATTGACAACTAACTTAAGCAGAACTTAATAGCTGTACTGAGGTACATGTTGGACCTTCCTGGTCCAGCACCCTTGGGACCTGACTGGTCCCGGATGAGGGATTTTGCCAGACCAGGGGAGGTCATTACTGGGCCTCCCCGCCCTCCCCTGCCACTGCTCCCCCACCGCTGGCCATGCCACCCCACTGGGCTTCCTGGCTCCTCTGGGCAGTCCAGCTGAGCTACGCACAGTGGTTCCCAACCCCCGCAATGTGTCAGGCTCCTGCTCCACTCCTGCCCCATCCCCACTGTAGCACATCGGGACTCTCTCATCCTGGAACATCGATGGTCCTGCCGGACCACAGATGTTGCCAGACCAGAGTGTCCCGGTTTGTAGAGGTGCAACCTGTACCTCACCAGAAACTCATGCCATGGGAAGCAGCAGATGAATGCCTAGACTTCTGCTTTTGGAGACCTCCGTTCCAAAGCTCCAATTTCAACGTGAAAGGGAACGTGATGGTTTCACCGTAGTCTTTATCCCACACCATGCAGATCCCCAAATGAGCAGAGTGTGGGCCCCACAGCAATGCGGGCCCGAGAGAGGCAAGTGCATTGGCAGAGGCATGGTCTGTATGCGTGGGGCCAAAGCTCACACTTGCTCACACTCGGGGCAGGGCTTTCAGGAGCTCCCCAGTGGGATACCTGCCTCTACAATGGTGATGGCAATCATGAACCAGGGTGGAGGACAGCAGGTGTAACTGTCGTAGTACCACTTCCGGTCTATCTCACGTGGCAAGGTCTCATATGCAACATGTCGAATTAGCCTCTGGGACAGGCTTAGCCCAGTCTCCTCCAGCAGCACCTTGCTGCACAGTCTCCTGTTCCCTTGCAGAATGGCTTGGCGGAAGCTATTTGACCTTTTGTTGCTCATCTGAAAAGAGAAAAGGGAAAAAATATGAGCCCAAACCATTGGCCTGTCGGGTGGGAGTATTACCAAGCGGGTCCATGTGATTGGCTGTGGGGTGTGTTACCAAGCTGGAAGAGGAGGATCTTGAAGAGCAAAGTCTATGACTATCATGAGGCAGTGAGTTCCACCTGATCATGGCAATAAGAATTTCCTTTGATTGTCAATAAGTCCCTTACCCCGTCCCACATCCAATGCATACATTTGATTTGCTCCCATATCTTTCTTGTGATTTGCTTCCCTTTGGAACTAGCCATCAATTAATATATATTGAGCATCCTCCTTTTCTACCTTCAGAAATCTCCTGAAAATCCACCTGATCATGAAGCATTCCCACTGTGGCTCAACCTGTGATCGATGTACTCTCTCCTTTCCAGCTCTTCAGGGATGGGTAAGAGCGTCCTGGTTATGTTACCAGAGATGGGGAGGGGGAAAGGCTCTTTCAAGGGAAACAGATGGATCTTATTCTGCATCATAATGTTAATTCTTATGTGATAAGCTGCTGACAATAAGCTGGGTGTGCACCCTGGGTGTGCACCCTGGTTCCAGAGCAATTACAGCCTCCCATTATTGTTCATGCTTGAGTAATGCATTCCCGCACAGCAGAACTCACCCCCCCCCTCCTTACCTCACAAGTGGTAAGAGAGCGCGGTGCGCTCGCCGCTAGCCAGGCTGTGGCCCTTCCCCTGATTTACTGCCTGCATTCTTGCAGGCTCACAGTCCAAAGACATCTGCTCCCGCCTAGTGCCAAGGCTGAATAAAAGATACAACACAGCAGGACTGGCCTCTCAGGGTTCTTGGCTCGCTTTGTTATTGGCTAATAGCCTCAAGATGGCAAAGCCGGAACCTTGTGCTCTCAGGCACGCGTAGGCTGTTGGGTAATTGTTCCAAATGGCTTCAAACACACAGATTTAATTGCTGTGATGCAGAGCACCGGGCTATTTTGGGTGACCATAGTGCCATGGCCTTTTTGGGGTCTTGGGCACATTCACTGGGATCCAGTATCACAGTGGCTGCTCTTTCATTACCGTGCTTGTAACAAGGAGGATAGGCTCCTTTCTCTCCTCAACCTCTCTCTGCTTTTCCTACTATTCCTCCATCTCCCTCGCCCCCTGGGAATAAGGAGAGGGGAGTGTCAATGTAGGAAATGGACACACACACACACCCCGGATTTTTTTTCAAAAATATAAATACTTCCCCCCCCCCCAGTTCAAAATGAAAGTTTTCAGTACAATTCTCCCCAGTGGGACGTTTTAAAGTGGTTTTTGGTGCTGTTTTGGTTGGGCTCAGGCAGCTTTTCTTCACTGGAGGAAAGATTTCCAGGAAAAAAATGTCAAGCAGTTCTAGTGCATTGTCTGGCAGTACAGCAATGGCTGCCAGCACCAGCGTGGGTTGACTAAAGTCTTCTCCATCCTTCTGATTAGTGTTTCCAATGAAGGAAGGTCTCAGCAAGCCAATGGGTTCATCAAAGGGCCTTGACCACCACCCTGAGCAAATATCCACTCATTTAATACAATTTTGCTCTATAGCCTTAGTTAATAGCCAGCTGGCTTTTAGTTCATGCGGTAGAGGTTCATGCACTGAGCGCCTGAGGTCCCAGGTTCAATTCCGCCTGCAAACTATTGGGGTCTGTCAGTGCTTATACATGTGGCCCACCTGCAGCCCATGGACTACCTGTCTGCCCTTCTCCCCCACATACCTCTTGTGCACTAAGACACCTGAGCCCTACACTTCCTATTCTTCCCCCTCTCTCTCAGGACTTTCAGAGCATACAAATCAGCCGATTGGCTGTCTGTCCCCGCTCCTCCCCCACCCTCCCAGAGCTGGAACACTGCGAATCAGCTGTTCCAGGCTGTTCAAACTGGGAGGGAGGGAGCGGAGCAGGGCAAAGTGCAAATCAGCAGATCCGTGGTGCTCTGAAAATGCCGGGGAGGAGAAGAAAGTGCGGGGCTCCAGTGTGCAAAAGGTATGCGGGGAAGGGATCAGACAGGGAGTCCTCAGGCTGCCAGTGGAACCCCAGCGGGCCATGGGCTGCTGCAGCCCGCTGAGATGAAGGAGGGCCACTCATGCGGCTCACTCCCTATTGTGGTTGTCCATTGCTGCTCTACCTGATGGTAGCATTCATAGGCAGTGCCGTCTAGTAACCAGAGGCCAACACTGGCATTTGGGACTCCTAATTCTGGTTCTCCCACTGATTTTGCTGTATGGCCTCCAATCTCTTATGTGAAAACTGGGGATAAAAATATCCAGTTCCCAGGGCGATTGTGGGACTCAGTTCATCCAGCGGAGGATTTGCAAAAGCTCTCTGCATTGTCCAGCTTGGTGCACACGGGAGTCATGGAGTGTTACCATAGGCGTCAGCAGAAGCAGAGCTAAGCCAGTGATCGCTGCTTTCGAAAATACCACCCTTCCTGTTGTGCTTTGGAAGCTCTGGCTGGGCAGGGCTGGATGATTATTGGATTAGTAGTCGTGCACAGCAGGACTTCTGCATTCACATTTCTGTGCTGAATGCACATGTGTCCCCGTCACACTTGGCAAGGATGTGTTCGTATAATTGGGCTGAGAGGAGTCCACATTGCAGAGCTGAGTAACTACTGCAAGCCATCTACGGCAAAACCAATGCAGACCTTTATCCTGGGGCCTCTTTGTGTTTCCAAACTGAATTTTCCCTCCCTAGTTAATCTTTATAATGGTGATCAAGAGAGAATACGATGATTCACCAAGGACCGGTGACACCACTCACTTCTGATTGACACTGGCAAAACTATTAAATGAGTTAACGGTCATTTCTCCATGATGTACGTTTCTTTAGCACCTCTGTAAAGGAACTTGTCCCTCTAGTATATTAATTCTGCTGCAGAAAGCTATGCAGGGGCCTTCCAAACAGACACGGCAATGGGACTGTATCCATTTAGCACCTTTTAAGGCAGTTAGTGAGCTAATTCTCCATTATTTTTATAAACTCACCCCCCCCAGTGCTTTAAAAAAAAAAAAAAAAAAAGGTGCTAGTATTCCAGGGGAAAAATTGTTGAGGAAAAAAAAAGCAGTGGGGCCAGCACTGCCCTTTTAAGAGATGCGGCCCCTTTAAGACACATGACCCAGCTGGCTGCTGGCCATTTTTATTACAGCGATGCCGGTATACTCTGTTCTTTCCAGGTAAGCTGTGACTAGAGGTGCCGGTACTGTATACCGGGCAATACTGTCACAAAAAAAGCACTGCCCCCCTTGTATATCTTTACCTTGCTGAGGGATTTCTGAGTCTATTTTGCTGCCAACTACCTCAAGGTGAAAATACTGCAAGGTGTAGGGCTAACTCCTGTTCTCTACAGTCACACAAGTTCCCCGCTCCTCTCCTCCTTGTGCGAGCAGCGTCCGTCCTTGAATTATGTTCTCTAAGAAAAGTCTGTGCTGACTTATTGTCATACCAAGGGCTATGTCTAGACTGCAGGCTTCTTTCGAAAGAGGCTCTTTCGAAAGCATCTTTCGAAAGAGCCTCTTTCGAAAGATCGCGTCTAGACTGCAGGCGGATCTTTCGAAAGAGCAATCCGCTTTTTCGAAAGAGAGCACCCAGCGAGTCTGGATGCTCTCTTTTGAAGAAGCCCTATTTACATTGAAGAACGCCTTCTTTCGAAAGAGGAACTTTCGAAAGAAGGCGTTCTTCCTCGTGAAACGAGGTTTACCGCCATCGAAAGAAAAGCCACGTTCTTTCGAAATAATTTCGAAAGAACGCGGCTTGAGTCTGGACGCAGGGGAAGTTTTTTCGGGAAAAGGCTAATTTTCCCCCAAAAACCCCTGAGTCTGGACACGGCCAAGATGTTAACCAGCGCTGTATTTAGAAGAGCGTTCTTAGGCCTGGGACTCCAGCTGCCAATATGTTATGCTGAGAAGCTTCTGAATTATATGTATTTGGATAAGGTGGCATCTGTCCAAGTGCTCTGGGCCTCCTGCCATTACCTAAAATACATCTCCAGCTGACAGTCCTCGGACAGCTTCACTTTCCCCAGTAAAATTCAGCTATAAACCACTCTAGGCTCTCCCTTTTATAGACTCCTCCTCAAATGGCCAAAAACCAGAGGACCCTTTCAGCCTGCCCAGGTCAGCAGACTCAGGGTGCTTTGACCCAACGTAGAAGTCCCAAAGCTGAGAGGCTCATACAGAGCGCACCTTGCCAGCAATTTTTGTCCTAACACGGGACCCCATTCCAGTGGTCACAGCTGAAGCAGTATGGTATGGGGAAAGGGGCAGTCTCTCTGGCAGATGGGTCCCGGAATAGGTAGGGTTTTATGGATTCAAGCCGACATTCTCCCTTCAAGCTAACCAGTGAGTACCACAGAAAACACAGCGCTACTCTAATGGTGCTCTTGATTGGTTGCTCTCCTCACCAAGTAGGAGAGGTTGCCTTCAGCACTACTTCCAGCTTACAACAGACCTCAGACACACAGTGAATTTCAAGAGTCTAAGCTCGAAGTAACAAGAGGCATAGGAAGAAGACTTTCAAAAGGAAAGGACAAACCCTTCAGGCCACGTATTGTTTGGAAGACAAAAAAGGAACATGCTATCCTCTGGCCCAATGTGTTATAACTTTTGCTTTGATTGCTAAAGATTCACAGAGGCATGCATTTTCATGCCAGACAGGACCAATATGACCTGCATACAGTGGGCTAAGGAATCTCAAGCAATAATTTCTTCACCAAGCCCATAATATGGGTGTCAACATCTAGCACCTCTTTTTAAAGGAGATCTACCTTTCTTTAAAACCAGTAAATCAGATGTTTGCTATTTTACAGCAATTCCTGTTAACAGCAGTAACCGGTAGAACTATAGAAAAGGGGAGCAAATTGTTTGGCCCTCAGCTCTGCTTTAATTATTGGACCCATGCTTAGATGCTGTGCAACATATTCATAAAGTAAGATCTGCAGGGTTCTGACAATACAAAAATATAGCACTGAAGGTCACTGAGGGTACGT